GCTCCTCTGGCTTTTCCTGGGGACTGCTCTCCAGTCGGTTGTGATGACTAGATATTCATTTGGCTGAGTACATCTGTTGGTATTGGTGGTATTTTCATTAAATCTGTTTCACTTCTACCAACGGGTTTGCTCTCATTTTTCCTAGTTCTCCTCCTTGGCTGGTGAGGGGTTGGTCGGGTGATAGAGCGATTGTTAGAGTTTAGCCCTGGGTATAAGCTAAACATAGACACCCAGCTTTACTGGAACCAGGGGATCTGCTGTGGATACTTAGATATTCTCCCTGACTCCCCTTCACTCGCTATCTGAATCCTCCAATGTGATGAGGTCAGTGTTTCTTGATTGATTTTGTTGACCTTTCTCTTCCCTGCAGGGACATTCATTTTGCCAGTATCCCTCTTCTCTACAAATAGTATACAGATTGGAGCCCAGAAGAGGGCCCCCTCGTGCCAGCCTTGCTCCGGGGCTCCCTCTGCCCCTTCCCCCACCACTCGCCTCCCCCATCTTCTTATCTCACCTCCTCTGTCTGCAGTCATTGCAGCTAAGACAGAAGCCCGCAGTTTCATTTTCTGTTGTATATTTCTTTTCCTTTTTCCTCTTTTCCTTAATACATGACACTAACGTATCTCCTAATGTGCGGGGTTTTTTTTCTTCATATTAGGGTCCTTATGCAAAGTCATACAGACAGCAACATAAGGCACATCGTCTCATTTTTCAAATTGGTGACAAAACGCATCAGTTGTAATATATTAAATTGTAAAGACCCATTTTTCTGGCCACTGTTCATCATAATTTGTTTTGTAATTTGGCCATCATTGATTACAATATCTTCTCTTTCTCACGAGCCATCGGGAAAAACCGCTTCCAGTTCTTTAAAATACAGCCCAGAGGACTACGGGAACAAATTATGGATTGGTTTGATCCTGCTACGACTTATACCTCATTTTCATACTCAGCTCTGGTTCCTAATTTTGTCAGTAAAGGTAGCCAGTACAAAGTGTCTATATGTGACATGTGACATATTTTCAACAGAAGTAGTTAAATATAATGCTCACCAATTCAGAAGTTCACCCCTCTTTCACCCTTGTACAAATACCTCTTGAACATTGCACCTTTGAGTCACTCACTGCCCTGACACTGGAGGGCTTTTGGAGGAGTCCCCAACAAACAGGTCTGTGCATACTCAAGTGCTGGCTGATACAGTCCTCTGCTATAGGAAACAGCAAGACAGTCCTGGCAAGGCCTTATGGCTGTCCCACCTGGGTTGCCAAAGATACTGTCCCAAATCTGGGTTCTGCAAAAGCCAGTTGACACACAAAGTTCAGATACTTGTTTTATTCCAGTTGTGTGCAGAAGAGGATGCTAAGCGGTAATTCACAAAACTAGCACACCTTCTGAGAAATAAGCTGGGTCTTGTATGCAGAATAACAACAAAGAAGAAACTGCAGTAAAGTAAATTATTGGGTTTTGTCACTCTTGACTTTACATATGAAAGCAGAAATTTACCATTCTCTAATCTTGAGACTCCCAGTGTCTGTGTGAGATTAGTTTGGCCTCACCAAAGTCTGATGCCCCCACCCCCATCAACCGCACAAGTCCACCTGGGTGCAAAACCTGAAATTTTTTGTCCCTGTTAGCCCTTTTCTTTTGACAACACTACAGTGCTTTTTGCTAGTTAATTTCAAACTCTTTTTAAGCATGTATGAATACTGCCATCTTAATAGTATCTTAAGATTTTATACATGTTTTAGCAAGTCCTTCATGTTTCCTGAGTTTTAAAATTACTTGCTACTACTCAGTTTGTCTTTTCCCATTTGCTTGTACTGATTTAATACTGTGGGATAAGAAAACTTAGTAAGATGTTATTGATGCTACAGTCTTTAAATTTTATTCTTCTGTTTTTCTTTGTTCTATGTACAAATTAGCTGTACCAATTAGCTGTTAGTCTATGGTAGTGATCCTGTATTGCTCTTCATAAATGGTTTTGATAGGGCAGCGCTAAATCAGTTGTGGCGAACATTATTATTTGTTCTTTCTTCCTGTTTCTTGTAATTTCCTTTCTTTTTCTTCCTTTTATTTCTGCCTGCCGGTTTGTTTTGTAGTCTTGCCTTTATTAACATGATTGAAGATTGACTTTAAGATTTTTACTCTTGTCAGTTGTTAACTGTTAGTTGGGCTGTATTAGTCTGCTGATGTCCAAATCAGGCCAATTTATTGTGAGAATAAAAGCTCTTACTTTGCTGATCCTGCTTACAAACCTAACGGGAATTCATTCCCAGACTCCGAGCTTTGTTGAGAGCTAGTTGGCAAGATAAACATGTGTTTTGTCTGTTTATAGAATATGGTATGATCCACATCTGTTGATAGGTTGATGTTACTTAAGGGAGACCTTAGATGATAGCTAGCTGATCTCTTAATAAAGAAAAGATTTGGAATTAACTGGGGTTTTTTGCATTCAACTCCAGAGCAGCTAGCATTATCTACTAGACTTTTTTTTTCCCCCTGTCTCAGTCCCTTTGATTTTGAACTTGCCACTTAATTCCTGTGTTGAAGAACATGAAACTGCTTAAAATTTCCTATCAACTGTGAATCGAACTGATGTGATTTTTGCTCCTTTAGATAAGTAAACTGGAAAATCCGCCCCCCTCCCCCTGCCCCTTGTCTCTCCACTGTTCCCTCCTGTAGCTGGTTTACGCGTTTCTTACAGTGTTGGCAAGTTGGTTGACCAAGATGACTTATTCTAGTGTCAGCTTCTCCATGCTGCCTTAGAAAAGAGGTACTTTGGTTTTGTTGCCTCTGGCTGTATGTGCAATTGAACCTGTATTAGTGCGCATGGAAAACAAACTTAATTACCATACTTATGGCTTAGTGTTTTGCATCTTTTCTAGATTTGGTGATCCACATTATTATTGCCCTCTTTGAGAAAGCCTTCTCCTACATGGAAGTATTTTGATTCCCTTCCTCTCCTCCAAGGTTTTGTAGGATTTACACAGTTTTGGTGGCTTTTTGTCACTGGGACTTGTCTGGCTGGTATTTACTTAAGTCTCAAGCTTTCTCCATGCTGAATTTTCTTCTATTTGTCTTCATTTATAGTTTGTGCTGACTTCCACAGTCCCCCTGACATTTACTTATGGCACTTTGCTATGCTGAGAAATGCTGTTGTTTTATAATGGTCTGATTTACCCAGCATTAAAGGTAAGGTAACATTTGTGTACAAGAACACTATTACAATTAAAATCTCTTTGGAAGGTCATCATGGAGCGCCATTAATTTTTGGTGAACAGTTTAAACTCCGGCTATACTCTGCAGTGAGTGCCCTGCTTTATTTGGCAAGTGACATTAGTGTTACAGCACCGTGCCTGAAGGAGGCCTTTGATGACAGAAGTAGGAAGTTTGGGAGCAGCCTTGTTGCTTCTCCAGTTTTCATCTCGGCAGCGCAAGGAAATCCAGCAGCAGTGTGTTTCTCCATATGTCCCCCTTCAGAACAAGGAAGCTTCAGCATGGTCTGTTTGTTTCTCTTGCTTTCAAAGTTGACAGTTGCAGATGGCTGATTGAGGTGCAGTCTACAGGATTGTGTTTCTGAATTAGCTTAGTTTCTTCTGTACTGGTAGAGTTTTGTTGGTGTTAGCATAAAGCAGAAAGAGGAGCAATTTTGCTTTGTTTTGTGGTTTTAAAATGTTGTCAATTAAGTATGTTCTAGGGCAGAGGACGGAGGATGATCAAACTGCCCTCTCCCTCCCCCTCATCCCCCAGCTGTCAGCCAGATCAATTGTGCAGGCAGAAATTGGCTAGGTTTTGATACCAGCTTTTGGTTTTATCATTTTTGATTCTGGCTTCATGTTTACTCTGTTTATGTATATTTACATAATTTGAAGTCATTTTGCTCTGTGGTGGTGATTCCAATGTTTTTTCTTGTGGTATCTTTGAAATATGATGGTATTAACTTAATGGGGAATCTTAAAAGTTTTAACTCAGCTACTTTGCAAAGTTGTTGTAGAAAACCAGATGTTTCTAAGTTTTTCAATGGTCATAAAATAAATATTTCTCTTTATTATGCTTTCTGAGTATGTTACATCTGATATAAAATGCATATACAGGTGGAATAATCTGGCAGCTCAAGTGTATGCCAAGAAAAGCACCTTGGCACAAGTCATACTGTCAGTGACAAATTCAGGATTGTCTGCATGGGGAATTTAGATGCTGTAATTTTAACGGAAAAACATGGTCTGCATATTTTTATTTTATTTTTTTTTAAGGAGTACTGCTGATCTGTAAAGATTGAAAATAATTTTTTATATTTTAGTTGGACAGGTCTTTGTGGAGTAGACTTAACTGTTAAGAGGTGTTTATGTATATATGGAGTTTGATGGAGCTAAACAAGGATTTTGGAGGGGGTGGGGGTGGAGAGTTTGTGTGGGTAAGAAACATTTCTACCACTTTTAATTCCTTTTCTTGACTCGTCCATATTAATTTGAATGTTCTTGCTTTTTTTAGGCTTTGCAAAGAGTATCTGATTACACTCTCTATTCTCATTTCTTGTTTATTTTTAACTGTATTAATCTCAGCTTACTTAATCAACTGCGTCTGTTTGTCTGGATGAATTTAACAGCTGATTTACAGGTGAAGCTAGGGTGACTTTTTTGTTATAATCCTGTTACCTTCACAATTGTGTGATATCCTACTAACTTCTCATTACAGCCGATCAGATGATGATTCCGGGTCAGCATCGGGTTCTGGATCTGGTTCAAGCTCTGGAAGCAGTAGTGACGAAAGCAGCAGCCGGTCAGGCAGCAGTGACTCTGACTCTGGTTCAGAGTCAGGCACTCAGTCAGAATCAGAGTCTGACACATCTAGAAAGAAGAAACAAATTCAAGCTAAACCACCAAAAATTGACGGATCTGAGGTAAACAAAATGTATAAATGAGCCTTATGTGCAGGAGGAAAAAATAATTTTAAAAGTTCTTCTGTGCAGTTAGTTTCAAGAGCAGTTTTCATTTAAAAAAATAAAAAGAGGTAGTGAAGTGTTTTTAATTAGATTTTAACTTGGTTATGTTAATGAATTCATGTGCTTAGCTGTCTTAGGCTAAGTTTCTCATGGATAAGTACTTGAATTGATACTTTTAAAATTCTCGTATCTGTAAATATTTTGAGTTAAGTGCTTACTTGAATTTCATTATGCAGAAGCACACACTGCTGGCACTTCTGGAAGACAAAGGCACACATAACGTTCTTTCTGAAATTCTGGTTTTTACATTGTTTCTCTAAGGTTTAGTTTCCTTGTATGAAGAAATGATTGTATAAAAACTTCCAGCTTACATGCAGTTGGCTTTCTTCATCAGTAAGTCAGATAAACTCAGGAAAAAGTGATGTTTAGAAATCTTTTAAATCTAGTGGACCAAAATGACCTGTGCTGTCCTGGTTACATGGACTTACTTGGGATGGTAGGACATACTTATGAAACGTACTCATATATTAGTTACCACAAGAATTGAAGACAGTTAAGGATTCTCTTATTTTTCTTCATGTACTTCAGTATTATTGCATGAAAAAAAACATACCAGCTAAATAGCCTAAAAGGATTTAACTGGGTCAGTTTAAAAATTTACTTTATAAGTGTTTTACCTTAACAATAACTACACAACTATTGTTAAACATGCTATAGGAATTGTCCTGGCAGTTACTGTATAACATTCTGTTCTGCAGAAATCTTACTACTTCAAAAAGCTCTCTGATACTATTAGTGCATGCAGTATTTTGCAGTGAATTCTTTTAATTGATGAAATTAAGATCAGTCTTAATACTCAGGAAAAGCAGATATTGTGGTAAACTGGAGACTTTCAATATGTTTAACTGGTTCTTACATCTCCGTTCCTGTTCAGTTTTGGAAGACTAGTCCAAGTATACTTTCTGTGCAAAGATCAGCAGTGCTGAAGAAGCACCAGCAACAACAAAAGGCAGCCTCATCAGACAGTGGTTCAGAAGAGGTGAATAACATAATTTAGATGTTTAAAATTTGTTAAAATATGTTAGAATAAAATTACGTAGAGCCAAGTTATATTCTCCAAGTGTGTGTAAAAGTCTGGGTTTAGTCTATAAAAGTAACATTCAAATAATGACATTTTTATAAGGAAAAGTAAAAATATCTCTAGTTACTTGTTTTCAAGTGAGTTGTGCTAAAACTGTAGCAACCTCGATTATATGGTATTTTTAGGTAGCTTTTCTGTGACTTATGGACAAAATTTTCAAACCACACAGTACTGACCTGCATTGTATTTGTGGCTTCTTTAGTTTTGTAAAGACAGTTAAAAATGCTAAAAGATTTTTTTCAACTTGTTTTTGTATAAAGATAGCTGCTGTGGTTTTAAAATACTCTGCATGGAGTAGAAAACTACATTTTTGCAAATTTTGTAACAGTTAGTGCAAAAAAATTGTATTATTTTAAGAACACCACTGCTGTTCTAGATATTGTAAAACCTAAATCATAGGCTAAAGAAATGTTGACTTTGTGCAGTAGGAACATCTTTTAAGGATACTAGTGACTATGAAGTGGAATTTATTTAAAAAGCAGACTTTTTCTCTTGTCATTACAAAAATTATGCAGTGTAGTCACACACTTTTTGTTGGATTTCTGGTTTTGTCTCGTTCAGCAGCTCATCATTAAAACTTAGACACAGAACTTAATCACCCGTTGTTAAAACATTAATTTACAGCTGCTGTTAAGTACTCTCTTTCTGAAAGACGCTTTTCAGGATAAAACTTAATCTAAAACTAAACTTAATCCTGATGAGGTTCGTGTTAGGAAGATCTCATTTTAACAGGGTTCTTGTTTTTTCTTTGAGCATGGAGAAAGAAGCATCATGCTATTCTCAAAATTTTCTTTAACTGGTGTTTAAATATGAAAGAATATGGAAGGTGAGAAAGCTGCTGAGGGTAGGAGATTTTATTAGGATTTTGATAGAACCATCATCTTGGTTAACTTGGGGCAACTTAAACCATGACTCTTTTATGCAGGCACAGTGGTTATTTTTTAAGACCAGGGTTCGTTTTTTATGTTCTCTAGAGCTGTGCTGGCACAATGTATTCATAGATTGATAAATACGAAAACAACAGCAGTCTTTATCTCATTCTGCATTAACAGCAACAATGCAGGGGATGAAGAGGGTAAAATGTGAATAATACACCTCCAATTTGAAAGTGGGAGCTGATTTATCTTTTTAAAGTTAGTAGTACTTCATTATTTTGTGATAATGACTGGAGGGATTTTTTTCTTCACCTGCAGGATTCATCAAATAGTGAAGATTCTGCAGATGACTCATCCAGTGAAACCAAGAAGAAAAAACATAAAGAGTAAGATATTTTTATAAGTAGTATCACATAATTTTTTGTCAGTGACATATGCTCATAATTCTCCACACTTGAAATGCTTAAGTTCGTTTTTAATTCATCTTGATCTTGCATTTCCAATTTTGAGAAACATTTTGGAATATTTAAAATAAACTCTCAAAGGAACATCTTTATCATACTAATTTCTGAGCAAAAGAGTCTGCAGTTTTAATTTTCAGCTGAAGGCCTTCCCTAAAAATTCTTGTAGAAATAGAAAGCTAATTAAGTAGGTTTTCTCACAGCAAATTTAAGTTAGAATCCCTTAATGCCAAATTCTTGTTGGTTGCTTGCTTTTTTCCCCCCTCAGATATGTTTAAACGTTATTATAGTTCTGACAGTAATTAAATATTAGCAAGCAAAGGATTTTAACGGAAAATGAGCTCCTCCTAAATGGTAAGTTAAAAAGTTTGTGAAAAAGATGACACATTGTTATTGTGGCAGTGAGAGGCAGTGACCTGTGTTTTTATGAATGGTGTGTAGAAATTGAACTGTTCTATCATTCCTCTCCTTGCAGTTCATGAATCACCTCGGTGTTCAGGGTTGCAACTATAGTATCTTAAAAAAATGGTAGTTTGAAAAAAAAAAAAAAGGCACTAATTATGCAAAATGGCACTTTCCTAGCAATGAGATGTTACAGCCTTTTCTTAACTAAGAATTTGATTGCATTTGATAGTATACTTCATTATAGGAGATACATTTAAATTTAGGAATGCGTAACCAAATCATTTCATATATCCACTGCTTGAACTTTTATCCTATGGCTCTTCTGAACAGATATGTCTGCCATTGTTATCTGATGTGCCGATCGGAGATTTCTCAATATATAACCTGGTACATGATCAAGCCTTAGAGGATGGTGCTTTATATCTTTTTTTTAATATTTCCAAATAAATACAGGTCATGGATTTATGTTATTATTTTTTTAATTTACTGTTTGCAGAAAAATATTTTAATAAGATGTTCTGTACCAGTGGCCATGTGCTGTGTGTACCGTAGACACATATGTGTTGTCTTTGGATATTGAAACAATGGGAATGTAATTTCCTTCAGGACCCAATGTCCTGGAAGGAGAGAGGGATCAAAGCACTGATTCCTAGCTTCCTGACTGGAAATGTAAGGAAGAGATTTCATGTTAATATTCCAGCTTTGATTAACGTTATTACTGCTCTAGCACCTTGGCGAAGTAGACCTAAACCTGTTGTTAGTATAAAGATGAAGCAACGTTTCAATAATGTATAGAAGACTTTTTTTTTTCCTTTCTTTTTCATGAAGCTAGTGAGATTAAATTTGCCTTTATAAAGTCAGAGTTTGAAACAAGATACTGATCATCAGTGGGTACATCTTTCCTGTTGCAAAGGAGAAGATCTCAGTTAAGCAGAAACAAGAACTTGGTGGTCAGTCACAAAGATCACAAGGATACTAAGTAGCTTGCATGTCCTGAGGCACTAATTTGGGAGCTCATTGGAGCATTTGGGAGCCAGTGCCACTCACAGGTTGCTGCAATTCAAGGTTTTCTGGACATTTCTCAAATATGCCTCTTTTGGATTCCTGTGCCAAAGTTGCTGATTCTTCACGTGGGCCACAGGGACCATAGGCATTAGACAATATGGGACTTACTAGGATATAACATGACAGGGCTTTATGAGTTGAGCATGTGTAAGTTCTGATAAATATGTATCTTTCCAGTTAGACTTGTTAAGTGCTTTGGTTTCTTAATGTCATGTTAACTCCTTTCTTCATGCTGAAATGTATATAGAAATCCAGATCTTTATTTTATTTTTTATTTTAAATCTACCTCTTGATAAGAAAACTTAGTCCAACTGCCTTTGAAGCCAGTGAGCATTTTTAATTATCTGTTATTAATTGATGACCATTTTCTGTTTCATTAGCTGAAATAACTGTTAAAAGATTATGTTGAAATTACAGCAGTTAACCTGTGGATGAATACCTGATTTAAAAAAAAAAAAAACACCGACACCTAAGTTACTCTTTTGTCTTTCAATATGTACAGTGAAGACTGGCAAATGTCGGGATCAGGGTCAGTATCAGGAACAGGTTCTGATTCCGAATCAGAGGAAGATAGGGAGAAAAGCAGTTGTGAAGATAGTGAATCTGACTATGAGCCAAAAAACAAGGTCAAAAGCCGGAAACCTCCAAGCAGGTAAGAAGTCATGCATTTGGATACTCTGGTACTACTTGTAATAAGCAACTGAGTATTTACTACTACTATACATGCAAATGAAAACGTTAATGCTTATTTAACAAAGAAGTTTTATTAAAGCTGTGGAAGATGTTAATATGCTTTCTAGTGAAGAATACCTTTTCCTGTCTGCTGTAACTGAAAGTGGAGTAACTGAGCATTCATGAAATACATTTATTCAAAAGGCAATACAAAAGATTTATAGTTGTCCCTGTTGAAACATCATTGTTGTGTTATACTCTGTTGTCTTCAAGAATTAAGCCAAAAAGTGGGAAAAAGAGTGCGGGACTGAAAAAGAGGCAACTTGATTCATCAGAGGATGAGGATGAGGAAGAGGAGGAGGATGATGATTATGATAAGAGAGGATCTCGTCGCCAGGCAACAGTCAACATTAGTTACAAAGAAGCTGAAGAAACCAAGACAGATTCTGATGATCTGCTGGAAGTTTGTGGAGAAGATGTCCCACAAACTGAAGAAGATGAATTTGAAACTATAGAGAAGTTCATGGATAGTCGAGTTGGTCGAAAAGGAGGTATTTTTTTTCTTTGGTGGTCTTAAAATCCTGGAGTGCATTGTGGTGCAACTTCAGCAAATGTTCTCAGCTGTAGGTCACCTGTAGGGTTTAAAAACAATAAACAAATAATTTTAAAGTTGCCAAAAAGTCATCTTGTTTTGTTTTTCGTGTTCATAAGGATATCCCTTTTTAAAATCCCTAGTAAGTGTTGCAAAGTGAAATGTAGAAGAATTGTATACCTAAGTAGAAAATAAAAATGAAGTGGAAGATAGCTCTGTATTACATAAATGCATACCATATTGTTATACCTCTGTACAGTTCAGTGATACTTGATCAGTATAAGTTATATACAGTGGAGTGGGGAAAGTGGACTAGATAGGAGAGCTGACTAGTAACCTGAACCCTGAAGGATGGTGTTGGCAAGGCTGAACCACTGAGGTTATGATTTCAGTTATTGCTATACAAATACAAAAAAAATTGTGTCAATACAGTGCAATGCGCAAAAATGCATCTAAAGTTTCAGTGGTGCACTTGCATGTGAACTCTTAAAAAATATTTTGTGAATAGTGGTAGACATATCATATTTCCAGCAATAATGGGATGCAGTGTCTAGCAGTTCTGCTTATATGTTTGAGTCTGCAAATTAGCATTCTAATTATAAAAACAAAGAGACAAAACCAAAAAACAAACCCTGGGCCCCTTACACTTTAGAGCTGCTTTTCTTCGTCGGTTACAACCAATCTCTAGAAGTTTCTGACCCACCTCAGAACTTGCACTCTTCTTCCTCTCAACTTTCTTCTCCCGTGCTGTCCCAAATTCTAGCATATCCTGCTCCAATGCATGGTGTTACTGCTTTGGTCAAAGCCTTTGGAACTAAGCTTCTTCTATTCTTCCTGTCCAGATGATGTTGCTGCTTATGCTGTCTTTTGCTGTTACCACTCTCTGTGGCTTTATCTTGCCCCCTGCAGCTTGCTGGGCTCATTTCCTTACCTGGCTGTCCTCACAGAGATGAGCCTGTTTCCTGTTTCTAGTATGCTTTCAGCTGTAATACGGACTGTACTTAATTAAAAAAATTCCCAAGTAAAATAACAAAGGCAGAAAAAGTAGTAAAACACATTTAGGAAGAAAGAGTTTTATAATATCCCTAGTAGGAGGTTATTTATGTCTCAAGGCTGACCAAGCATAATGTTAGATATCTTTTTTGTGAGTTTTGGTTGCTTTTTTGATTCTCTTTTGAATGCTTGTGCATCTGTTAACATATCTGCATTATAATTGTTCAAATAAGAGTAATGATATGAGAGCTGTAGATACTAGTCAATTATATGCTTATCTAAAAGTATCGCTTAATTCCTTTCTACCCTACAGTTCTTGCTGGTTAACTTACAACAAGTACATGTAATTAAGGTTTATGATGTGGTTTCTTTCTCAGCCACAGGTGCCACAACCACCATCTATGCAGTTGAGGCAGATGGTGACCCAAATGCTGGGTTTGAAAAGTCAAAGGAGCCAGGAGAAATACAGTATCTTATTAAATGGAAAGGTTGGTCACACATCCATAACACTTGGGAAACTGAGGAAACATTGAAGCAACAAAATGTTAAAGGAATGAAGAAACTGGACAACTATAAGAAAAAGGATCAGGAAACAAACCGATGGTGAATATTTTTATGTAGACTTCCACAATACCTATTTTGTAACAATGTAGATGTTCTATTGTGTTTCTGAGACCTGTTACTTCTTTTTGAGGGCATAATTTCAAGTGTCTGTGCAACAGGAAGACAAAAACTTTAAAGCTGAAGCCTCCTTAGGCATGTTTCTGTAAGATCACAGAACCACAGAATGGAAGAGACCTCAAAAGATCATCTAGTCCAACCCCCCTGCCAGAGCAGGACCACCTAGAGTAGGTCACACAGGAACGCATCCAGGCAGGTTTTGAATGTCTCCAGAGAAGGAGACTCCACAACCTCCCTGGGCAGCCTGTTCCAGTGCTGTGTCACCCTCACAGTGAAAAAGTTTTTCCTTATGTTAATGTGGAACCTCCTGTGCTCCAGCTTGCACCTGTTGCCCCTTGTCCTATCATTGGACATCACCGAGAAGAGCCCGACTCCATCCTCCTGACACTCACCCTTTACATATTTATAAACATTGATGAGGTCACCCCTCAGTCTCCTATTGTCCAAGCTAAAAAGACCCAGCTCCCTCAGCCTTTCATCAGAAGGGAGATGTTCCACCCCCTTAATCATCTTTGTGGCTCTGCGCTGGACTCTTTCAAGCAGTTCCCTGTCCTTCTTGAACTGAGGGGCCCAGAACTGGACACAATATTCCAGAGGCGGTCTCACCAGGGCAGAGTAGAGGGGGAGGAGAACCTTTCTTGACCTACTGACCACACCCCTTCTAATCCACCCCAGGATGCCATTGGCCTTCTTGGCCACGAGGGCACATTGCTGGCTTATGGTCGTCCTGCTGTCCACCAGGACCCCCAGGTCCCTTTCTCCTACGCTACTCTCTAACAGCTCAGTCCGTAGCCTGTACTGGTACATGATAATCTTCTGAACCAGATATTTGTGTGTGAGTGTTATAAGTGGAGTTTTAACAAGGTGGGTAGTGTTTGAAAATAAATAATAAATTGTACCTTTTACTAATTTTGTTGTTACACTTTGATCAGAGATCTTCAGGAATCACTGCAGAGATTATTGGTGCATTAACCTTTTCAGATTACTTTGAAGAATTTGGTTTTCTTGTCTCAAACCTGAGGTTCAAGCCTGAGAACAAAAACCTGGAGAAATCCATACATTTTAAAGTAACTTTTTTAGTGTTCAGTTTTATTAGTGTTTTTAATATAATCAGTGAATACTGGTGGGATTTTTAGCAACTTAATCATAAGATGGAAGCTTAGAGAGGGAGCCACCCTGAATACTGTTCCATGAAAATACCCTGTAAATACAGTTGTTTATTTTGCTAATAGGTATTCTGAATTATCTGCATGACTAGTACCACATGTAGCTGTAGCTGTTGTGTTTCTTCGTAAGCATTCTCAGTCATTAATGATGAGGCACCTAGGCCAGATGCAACAGTTTTGTGGTAGGAATTTCTAAGCTGTCCTTTCAAAGAAGCTCTCTAAGCAATGTTTCTGTGATGATCACATTCAGAGCTTGAGAGTTGCTAAATTTTTGTGGTTTTAGAACTATATGGTGTAATAAGTGTTGTAAATTAATTCCCATTACAGGCTGAAAAATGCTTCTCCAGAAGATGTGGAATATTACAACTGCCAGCAGGAGCTTACAGATGACCTACATAAACAATACCAGATAGTGGAAAGAATAATCGGTATGTTACAAACTTGCAGACAGAAAACAGTGTTGAGAGTTCTGTATGTTCACTGCTTATATGTTGCATTTCTAGTTAAGAAATTTAGAATATGAATATCACTAACTTTTTAATCCAAAACAAAATTTGGGTAAAGAGAAAAGTTGTCATACTGCCTGTGCTATGAAGCTAGCACATGTTGTCTTGCTATCTAAATCAACTGTTTTCATAAGATACAGAAGTAAAATGCTGATCAGATATTTCTGGTGCATTTCTGCAGCTCATTCAAATCAGAAATCAGCGGCTGGTTATCCAGACTACTATTGTAAATGGCAGGGTCTGCCTTATTCAGAATGTAGCTGGGAAGATGGTGCTCTCATTGCCAAAAAGTTTCAGGCATGCATTGATGAGTACTTTAGCAGAAATCAATCCAAAACCACTCCCTTTAAGGACTGCAAGGTGAGTATGTAATTTGCAGTGGATTTATAATCAGTTATACTGGGTCTGACTGGGATGAAGTTAGTTTTCTTCATAGCAGCCTGTGTGATCCGTGTTCTAGATTTGTGACCTAAAAACTGTCGATAACACACCAGTGTTTTGGCTGTTGCTGAACAGTGCTTGTACAGCGTCAAGGCCTCCTCTGTTTCTTGCTTTCCCTTCCTGCTATGGTTGGGGGTGGGCAGGGGGCTGCGAGGGCATGCAGCCAGTACAGCTGACTCCAGCTGACTAAAGAGATATTTCATGGCATTTAATGTCATGCTTAGCAATAGAACTGGGTGGGCTGAGCCAGGGGTTTGAAGGTGGCTGTTGCTTGGAGACTTGCTGGTCATCAGTCTGCTGGTAAGTTATGCGTGACTCCATTTCTGTCACTTGTGGGGGCTTTTTTGCTTGTGGGTTTTTGTTTTGGCTGATTGGGTTTTTTCATTCACCCAGTAAACTCTTCATTTTGACCCACAAGTTTTTCTTATTTTCACTGTTTCACTCCCTTGTCCAACTGAGATAGGGAGTGAATAAGCAACCGGGCGGCAGCTTAGCTGCCATCCAGGTTCAAGCCACCACATCAGTTGTGGTAGTAAAAATGTGAAAATATTCTATGAATCCGGAGAAAAGATACATATTATGAAATACTTTTTGAAAGTTGTTCAGAATAGTAACAATGATACATAGTGATATTTCTATGGAAAATACCACTATTAAGAGTAGCTTTTTGTAGATACCAGTCCCCTGCATTTTCACTGGCATTCAAAGATTCAATTTTTTAGTATTGTAGTTTATTTTAAAAGTAAACTTTGAGTGAGTTAATGTCACTGTTGTTGTGAAATTTAGATTAGCAATCAAACTAATTTAAACTTGCAAATTGCTTGATGTTTTTATATGACCTATTTTTTGTCACTGGATAAAGACTAGACTTGGTGACCTAATAGATCCCTACTGCTGTTTCTTCTTTAGGAAGCCATTCGGTAACTTCAGTTGGTAGTAAGACTGATAAATTCTCTTTTGACAGGTTCTAAAACAGAGACCAAGATTTGTTGCACTGAAGAAGCAACCGTCTTACATTGGGGGACATGAAAATTTAGAGTTAAGAGATTATCAGTTAAGTGGATTGAATTGGCTTGCTCACTCATGGTGCAAGTAAGTATAGCCTGAAATGAGTTTTTCTGTTTATAAATTGTAAGCATTTGTAAAACTTTGAAATCGATTTTTCTGTGTTTTTTTTGAAGGTGGAGGGTTTCATACAGTAAGCTCAAAGTACAGGTCTGAGGGGAGTGGTTTTACTCCAAGTAGTACCAAAACTTATCATTGCATGACTGTTCTCAGAAAACAGCTGAGCTCTGTTGTTGCTTTGCTTTTAGTTTCTTATGGGGGTAAGTCGTATTTGTTTAAAACAAACAAACCCAAAAGAGTAAAACCAGAAAACCCAAAGCAAACTCTTCTGAAATGTCAACGTTAGTGTTACATTTTAAAATTAGGCTCACGAGGAATACTTACAAGCTTTTTGTTAATTCTGTTTATTTATTTCAAGTATTGAGTGGAGGGTGTGTGGTAATTGTTTTTATAGAAAAACAATGGAAATAAACTTCTTCAAGATGCATAGTTGCAAAATCTTGAAAACTTGAATGAATGTTTTAATGTTTTTTATGCTCAAAAGATAACAATTTCTTCCTGTCCAATCCTTCACGCTCTCTACACTGCCCTATTTTTTTTTTAATTTTTTTTTTAGAGGGAATAGCTGTATTCTTGCAGATGAAATGGGTCTCGGTAAAACAATACAAACAATTTCTTTTCTGAACTACCTATTTCACGAACATCAATTGTATGGGCCTTTCTTGCTGGTCGTGCCACTTTCTACCTTGACATCTTGGCAAAGAGAGATTCAAACTTGGGCTCCTCAGATGAATGCTGTAGTGTACTTAGGAGATATAACTAGCAGAAATATGGTGAGTGTTTCTCTTTATTATTGGAAAGGCTTATAGAAAAACAAGACTTGCTTCGTGTTCCTGTCATTTGCAGAAACACTGCAAATATGTGTTTAAGATGCAAATTGAAAGCTTGGATTTGGATGTGATATAAAGGTGTTTGAAAGATTCCTTACTGCTATCAAGACATTCTGTGGAATCAAGAGAGCAGGATTAAATTTTAATCTTGCATTTGAAAACAAATTATCTTCTGCCATATGATTATTTAGGTGGATATAGTAAAAATAAATATGTAAGCAAGCCAGTCATGATCTTAATTTATTTCCTGACACGTTGTTGGTTTGTTTTCTTAATGTGTTTTCTGAATGTCAGTAAACTTATCCATTAAAGTAAAAAATGTTTTGTAGAAATTCTTTGCTGTTTATTCATAAGTTTAAACAAGTACTTTTTGAAGTGCTTAGATAAGTTGGAAGTTCAGTCTTGTGTGTGTTAATATGCTGTGCTTCTGTTTTGTGACCATAGTGTGGTATGTCATTAAAACATTTACATTGCTGCAGTACTTAAATTCATCCCAGTCAACAAGACTGTTTTTCTCTTGATTCTTTTTGTAGATAAGAACTCATGAATGGATGCATCCACAGACCAAACGATTGAAGTTTAACATACTTCTAACAACATATGAAATTTTGCTGAAGGATAAGGTAATCACACTTCAGGGAGATAAAAATAATTTCTCAAGTGTAGAACTCCCTTTAGACTGGCATGCATTCGGTTTATGGGTCATTAAATTTATGGTGGGTGTGATAGCTTTTGGTTTTGGAAGTAGTGTCAGTGTGTGGATTGGGTTTTTGGAAATTCTTTGGGGGGGGCGTTGGTTTTTTTAAAGCACTTCTAGGTTTTCTATATGTCTGGTGAGGCTTTCAGCCTTTTCCCATTTCATTAAGTGGGTAACACTTCTTTTTCGCCAGTTTCCTTGAGATTCTCATTACTGTAATAATCTTCTCCCATCTTCAAAAGCTCTACTTCTTTGCAGACCACCATCAAGGAACTGAAAAAGAACACAACCCCTAGCTCCAAACATGATACAGAACTATGAAATCCCATATGTTTTTTCTTTGTTACTGTGACAACAGTAGTATGTGTACATGAATTAATACTGTCTCCGTAGTGGTAGCACACACAGTTATTGTTAATCCTTCTAACAGTATATGGAAATTTCTATAGATAGTCGAGAAGCAGAACATTTTTACTTCATTTGTTTGTACGTGCTGGGAAGAAGAGGTCAATAGTGATTTTTTTTCTGTCATGTAAAAATTAATGTGGGTCAGACTTTTGGACATTTTTTACCTTTTAAACTTAATTTGTACATTTTTGGAATGTTTGCAGAGCCTTTCATTGAATCTGGCAAATGTAAAAGCCATAATTAGTACTAAAAATTATATAACTGTCCGTATTTTGTTAAAATAAACCAAGAAGTGATGGTGTTTATAGCTTGATTATAAAATGTGGGAAATTATGCAATGTGTTTATTTGAATAATGTTCCACCTCTCTTTCTTTTAAGTCATTCCTTGGTGGTCTGAATTGGGCGTTCATAGGAGTTGATGAAGCTCATCGTTTAAAAAATGATGACTCTCTTCTGTACAAGACTTTAATAGACTTTAAGTCTAACCATCGCCTTCTGATCACTGGAACCCCTCTGCAAAACTCCCTTAAAGAGCTTTGGTCTTTGTTGCACTTCATCATGCCGGAAAAGTAAGGATGAGTTTTACATGATTCTTTTTAACATTTTTTGGTCAAGTTTGTTATTGTGAAGTAGTGTAGTGATTTGAGAATCAACAGAAGTAGAGGATCATACTGGAAGATAATTTAAATATTCTGCATAAAGCAGATGCATGTATTTTTTTATGCTGCTCCTGGTAAGTAACACTGGTAGCAGTTGTCACCTTTTTCCATTTTAGCAGTCCACAAAAATGGTGGATTGATGAATGGGTCAGAACCTGGAAAAAAGGTGTCATCTTAGCCTAAGAGGAAAACAGAATGGAATCTTTCTTTGTTAGTACTATTAATGAAAACAAATTTGTACCAAGATGCCTAACATCCTGTAGTTCAGTCAGATAGCTGGTTTTCCCATACAGTTTGCATACAGTAGGCTTACTGTATTGACCTTATTTTGTACTGAATTCTGCTTTTACCTAAGATAAAATAGAGCTCATGTGTGAGAGCACTTATTCCTGTCAGACATCTTGTAAATGCCAAGTACCGTAGCTCCATTTATTTTCAGCTGTGGATTGTACTGACTTCTTCAGAACCTTGCAAACAAAGCCACTATGGTCTAGTACCCATTCTTCATTTGATCATAAAGTCTGTTCTCCTAGTTTGTTAGCACAGAGGATAGTTAAACTTCAGCTACATACAAGCTGCAAAATGTACATCAAGTAGTCTCTTATTCTCTTGCGCATCCTCTAGCCAAGCAGCTGGGTTTTTGTGCTGCTTGTGGTAAAAGTAATAATGGAATTTCTGCAACAATCTAGGTGAGTATCCTTGCAGAAAAAGAAAAATGTTTGGTTTCCGCTCTGTAGTTTTCATTCTGTAAATGTTTTTGCAAAAATTCCATTATTCTGTTTACAGGGAAAGTATTTGGAATATCTTGTGAGACGAAAATTCAGAAATGGGATAAATTAAACAGAAGGGAGTAGGGAAGAGATGCAAATATGTGTATGCTCTTGTGGTATATTTATACACATTCTGTGTTTGTGTTACCTTTCTTCTTGAATTTTGCTTCTTCAAGTCATTCACAGTATGTCACTATTTTACCCTCATTCTATGTTATGTTGAAGGTTTTCCTCCTGGGAAGATTTTGAAGAGGAGCATGGCAAAGGGAGAGAGTATGGTTATGCAAGTCTCCACAAAGAACTTGAACCATTTCTTCTGAGGAGAGTTAAAAAAGATGTAGAAAAGTCTTTACCTGCTAAAGTTGAGCAAATTCTGAGGATGGAAATGAGTGCATTGCAGAAGCAGTATTACAAGTAAGTAACAACACTTTTTAAGTTGTGCTGTTTTAGTGATAAATCTATATGCAATTGTCTTGGTTTGAAAGACAGGTGTCTATGG